CATATATTACATACACTACATACATTACATACATTACATACATTACATACATTACATACATTACATACATTACATACATTACATACATGCATTACACACATTACGCACATTACACACATTACACACATTACACACATTACACACATTTCACTACACACATTACACACATTACACACATTACACACATTACACACATTACACACATTACACACATTACCTACATTATATTTCATTACAAACATTACATTACATTACATTACATTAGATTAGATTAGATTAGATTAGATTACATACATAACAAACATACATTACACACATTACACACATTACGTACATTACGTACATTACATACATTATGTACATTACATACATTACATACAGTACATACATCACATACATTACATACATTACATACATCACATACATTACATACATTACATACATTACATACATTACATACATCACATACATTACGTACATTACCTACATTACATACACTACATACATTACATACATTACATACATTCCATACATTACATACATTACATACATTACATACATTACATACATTACATACATCACATACATTACGTACATTACCTACATTACATACACTACATACATTACATACATTACATACATTCCATACATTACATACATTACATACATTACATACATCACATACATTACATACATTACATACATTACATACATTACATACATTACATACATTACATACATTACATACATTACATACATTACATACATACATACATACATGCATGCATGCATGCATGCATACATACCATACATAACATAACAAAACATAACATCACATAACATATGTATCTATGTATGTATGTAATGTATGTATCTATGTATCTATGTATCTATGTATGTATGTATGTATGTATGTATGTATGTATGTATGTATGTATGTATGTATGTAATGTATGTAACCTATGTAATGTATGTAACCTATGTAATGTATGTAATGTATGTAATGTATGTAATGTATGTAATGTATGTAATGTATGTAGTGTATGTAATGTATGTAATGTATGTAATGTAATGTAATGTATGTAATGTATGTAGGGTATGTAATGTATGTAATGTATGTATGGTATGTATGGTATGTATGGTATGTATGGTATGTATGGTATGTATGGTATGTATGGTATGTCATGGTATGTCATGTCATGTCATGTCATGTCATGTCATGTCATGTCATGTCATGTCATGTCATGTCATGTCATGTCATGTCATGTCATGTCATGTCATGTCATGTCATGTCATGTCATGTCATGTCATGTCATGTCATGTCATGTCATGTCATGATGTCATGTCATGTCATGTCATGAAAAAATAGTGTGAGTTGGCTGTATGAAAAAATATGTGTATATACGTATATACACAAATAAACCAACTACATATGTATTGTCTATCTTCTTTATGACATATCAATGTGTATTTTGCATGTTTAACCCCATTTAGCACCTTTATCTCACACATGTGCATGGCGCCTGCGAGATGCTGCTGTGCCGTCGAGATACCATCTTCGCCTGGTAACGTTTGGCGAGGTCATGACTTCAGGTATTCGGGTATGTACATATTAAGAAATTGCATATCCTGTGTATGTGTACATATATCTTTTTCATAAGTCTGTATGTTGTAAGTTTACATTAATGTATGGTTATGTATATGAGTTCTATGTGTATCTGTTTCCTCCATCTGCAGGCCTCCTCTGAAAAAGCAGCCACTTGCGCCGCGACCACATTAGAAGCACCTCATCACAAGGTCTGATGCTTCATTTAGTTCGAGTTCAAGGAAGAAATGTTGCACGCGTTCGAACAAAAACATGCTAAACTAAGAATCATCCCATGTTCATCTTGTTTTAAATTTTGTTTAGTTCCAACATGAACGATTCATGTCCGGCGCCGTTTCGTCCCCATTGAGGACAGAACGTGGCAGCGCTTGTACAGGGCGGCGGTCATCCCTTGGAAGCTGACCGTTGCAAAAGAATCTCAAAGGTATAGTTATAGTTATGGTATAGTTACTCTACCGTCATAGTTGTAGGTTACAGGTTTCAGGATATTGGTTCTAGGATATTAGATGTAGGTTATAGGATATAGGTTATAGTTGAAAGGTTATAGGCTGTTAGTTTTAGCTGTAGATATTAGTTCTAGTTATTGTTTAAGTATATTGTCCCCATGTTTTCATCATTCTATAATTTGTGAAGCCTAGGTGCCTATCCGACCAAAATTTTGGTTCTGATTTTTCTGATTTTTTGATAAACAGATTAAACAGCTGTATTTGTTTTTATTCATGTGTTTTTATTTGTTTTATGGGCCTCCCTTTGAATAAGCATCAATTCCTGTCAAAAGATCTGAAGATCAATATGTTATAAATTATAAGTATGGTACTTCATCCGGATTGGCGGTACCTGAGCTTGACCCCACTACCCATTCAAGAATCGGATTGTGAAAGATTGTCCTGTACCGCAGGATATCTGTGCAGAAAAAAAAGTCTTTGCCAAGAAAAACCTGTTTGCCCTTATCAGAGGAGTTTTGGCGGGTTAAGGATCAAAAAAAATATTATTGGCATCAAAAGAAATATCCAAAAGGATCAAGAAAAACTGGTATCAACAAAAAAATACCCCTAGGCCCTAGAAACCTATACCCTCATCAACCATTGAGCGCACCACTTTCTCCACAATTGCATACCAATTGCTCTCATCGCAAACTCAGATGCTAATACCAATGCGTCGGTCTCCAGACTGTTACTGCACATATGTCGGTCTGTCTGCATTAATGTGTGGATGTATGCATGTACGCACGTGTGCATGTATGTCTGTATAGTAAATGTCTGTATGCATGTCTTTAGTGGATGTATGCATGTCTATGTGTGAAGGCACAAACATCAAGACGCCAGCAGAAGGATTGCAGACTCAGGATGTAGCAGTACGTTTTTAAAGTTGTGCACAGTTGCACACACATCTCAGCACAGGATGCACCTCCCCACAAAGCAGACCGTAGGTTGAATATGGTTGGTACTCAGGGTTTGCGTATGTGTACATATATATATAGTACTCAAGGTATATATGATGCACAACACGCGTACTGTGAGCATGAAGAATGTAAGTTAAATCAAGGGTGGTGTGGGGGGTAGGGGAAGGGTTAGGGTTGTGTGCATGTCAGCATATGAATTGGGACTCTTGAATGGACTGTGCTGAAATACATTTGTCGAGTCATATATTTACAAATGTGCAAGTGTGGATTCAAATAAAAAAGGCGGGAGGGGGGATTGGGGGAGGGCGCAGCGCCTCCCCCAAAGCAGAATGACAATACCTGTCTGTGCTCCTGTGTGCGGTGGAATATGGTATTCAGGGATTTTGTGTATATATGTAATATATATATATAAATGGTACTCCAGATATACATACATACATACATACATACATACATACATTACATTACATTACATTACATTACATTACATTACATTACATAACATACATACATACATATATATATATAATGCACAACATGCCATGCCTGTTGTGAGCCAATGTACGTTAAATCAAGTAGATATAGTTGGAGAGCCACTTTCAACAAGTGTCCAGTGTCCTGAAATACCGCTTTCACCTTGCTTCCTTCCTTCCTTCCTTCCGTCCGTCCGTCCTTCGTTCCTTCGTTCCTTCCTTCCTTCCTTCCTTCCTTCCCTCTCCCAGAATATTTTTTTTATCCCGATAATATTTTTTTTGATCCTATTAACAATTTGTTTGATCCTAATAATATTTTTTTGATGCGTATCCCAGTTTTGGCGTGGCAACCTCTACAAATATCTACAAATGTTTTATCCATAGCTTGGGCGCACCGTGGAGTGCATCCTTGGAACCAAGCGTCGAAGGCTCGAAGTGACTGTTTCTGCTGAGAAGCTTCTGCAACTCGTCACGCACGGGCGAGTTCAACTTTGTAGGAGGTGGTGATGCTTGCGGGGCAAGCAAAGTGGGAATCACCGGACTCGTCACAGGTGCGAACTGATACATCGGCACAGGGGAGGTGACCGCGATCTGCGTAGATATGCCGGGTCGCCTCAATGTGCTGCGAGTATCACAGGATCCCCTGGACTTGTTTGAGCCACCCTCCGGTAATCAAACAAGGCAAATTCGAAGTCCTCATTAATAATCCCGTCCTTCTTTTTTCTGAATACACCCCAATTTATAAAAATTACTCCAGACTGTCATGTTTGGGAAACTTCAGGATGGTTAATTTGATTTTTAATTCAGTTTAAACATCAAGGTCCCATTTGAGGGTTTCACCCCTTAGTAAGAAAAAGTAGTTGGTTAGGGGCGGCTTATTATTAGGGTCTGTCTTTTCAGATCAACATGATTAGGTTTCAATTGAGGTGAAACCTTTGAGATCCAATTTTTGGCAATACTTTATGTGGATCTGAAAAATGTTTTGAGCGATTTTGAAATCAAAATACCTAGTTTTTCCTATTAAGGTCTTGATTTAGTATTACCAAATACCACCAAATACATTCGAAACTACTCAAGGTGCCTATTTGTTTTTGGGATGGCGTTTGGTGTTAGGGGGTAGAGATGAGATATGATTAGATGATTTTCCCCATTTAAATGCCCATTTATAGGCATAGGGCATAGGGGATTTCTCATTGCCATGCTTCCCAAAAGGTAAGCTGACCCTATTCATTGACGAGCTGCGCCCTTCCTGTCTGACTGGCCCGTGGTGGTGTTGACACCATTGAAATTGCAGTTGGAGCAGCAGCCATTGCACGGGCCGATTCAACGAGCTACTGTTCAACGAAGCAACAGATCCGGGCCTCGCCCTGATTGTGGCGCATGCAGCCTTGCAATGCTTTTATTTGTTCAACTTTCTAATCACACGCTGGAGCCCATGGTTGCGTCAACACCTGACATAAGAATTCCGAACTCTGTGAAAAACAAGCCAGAGAATGTTGGCCATGGACAGCAAACAAAGTACAATGAAATCGCTTTTTGTATTCGGAGATCGGCAATTCTGGGACCCAGACTTCATGAATAAGCAACCTGTACCTCAGCCTTTCTTTGATACCTGTCCTCAACCAGATCCTATCTCCATTCCCAACTCGCGCGGTCCTGCGCTTGCAAGCGTCTGGTTGTAAGGTGCCGCTGATCCTGGCATGGTGGCAATCATTAATGACGAATGATCCACAGAAACCGGTTTCTATACAGCAGGCCGAAAACCAGTGCTCTGGAGGGGGTTCCATATTGCATGACTTCATAACTCATAATAGGTACAGATATGACATATTCAGTAAACCAAATATTACCAAATATTTAGGATGAAGCCCTCCTTTTCACCATCCAGGGTGGTAGCTCTGCGCCAGCTCAGTCCTCAATGGCAGGTTGTCCCAGCTCGCAACAGGTGTGTGCACAAATGCCTGACGGTTATCCCACAAGACAAGTTCGTGATACACTCATCATACATATCATCCCACAATTCTGCACATGTTTTACAATGAAATCATACCCTTCTTTTGCCGGTTGGCGATGCTGAGAGTGCCCAGAGAGCCTCTGTGACGTCAAAGAGCCGCTCTTGGCCTCCCAAGTGAAACCTGGACGAGAAACTCACGCCGAGATTCTCTTGACCTCCAAAAATGCAAAGATAATCTCTCCATGGTTTAATGTATTTATTCATTTATATCTACCTATCTATCTATCTATCTATCTAAAATATAATTGAGGGAGAAGTTGCGGTTTGGGCTTCCTGATGTATAAAAAAAAACCTTTCCTCCACGGCATTTTGGGAACCGCATTTCGCTCATAATGGTGGTGCGCCGCCATCTCAGAACCAGATCTGAACGCCACTGGACGGTCCATCCCTTAATATCTGTTGATAGGAGATGGTGGTCGCTATCCGCTTAATTCAGTATATCAGTATATCCAATAATGTCCAACAATATCCAATAACAAGGACTCTAATGCCCAATATGATACTGCACGTGTATGTATGATTATGATTGATTATGTATATAATTATATTATATGTTTTTTAAAAAACATATGTCACAAGATCCGATGCCTCTTTCATAGATTTTCATTGTATCCCTATCCAAGAATGTGGTCAGCCAGATGCGACAACTGGGGCACCAGACTGGTTCATAGTTCCTTTCACTGACAAATGCCAGAAGCGGGGCCTCGGCTGACGTGCATCACCTGAAGGTTTGTGATCATGGTGATGGTATTCCCAAGAAGTTTCCCCTTGAATGATGATATATTACAAGCATTCCATTGGACAATGGCATTCCCAAACGTTGGGTCGTGTTTGAATCAAATGTTGAGCACCACTTCCGGCCTAGTCTGGCAAATTCAAGTTGAGGTGGAAATGGTGGAATCGGTAAATATGTGAACCCGCCCAGATTTTTTCCTCCACCACGTTGAATCGATTCTCAGAGCCATTGTCTGGGAGAGATCTGAAACTCTGGCGTCTGCGCCGTTGAGATACAGAAACCTTGTGTCTCATCGATCCCAACACATGGAACCCGGTGAAACCGTCACGGCGCCCATCATCAGCCGCCTTTTCAGCACAAGGACCTGGAAACGCCTGGAAATCTGGAAGGGCGTGCTGGGATTACCAGAGAATAGAATAAATCCCACCCTATAAAACACCCCATATTTATGGTCACGAATATGCGTAAAACCCCTATTAAATAATAATATTTCTGGGGATGTTTAGTATGAACGGGGGTTGCCACGGGGGTTGCCGTGAAACTTGCGCTGGCCTTTGCTTTTCGGTACTTGGAGGTGCATCTCAGTTATACAGTAAATGGTTTATAATCCACATAGAACTGGGGATTAAGTGAGGGTATTCGAGATACTGAGGCATTTCATATGTTTATCACCCACAAAATCATTTCCTGGACCGCGTGCCCCCATCATCCTTTTCTTTCACTGTGCTTCTTGGGGCCTGCCTCCAAGCTAGGCGCTAAAGCAGTTTGTCCCTGGCAAGGCTGTGATTTCTGGCGATATCATAGTGTTCCAGTACACAAAAAACAAGACCAACCTACGAACCCGAATGCAGTCACGTAAAACACTTTTTGTGAAGGAAACTGTTTCAACAGTCTTGCAGGTTCTTCCCCTGCTACACTGTGGAATGGAATGGAGTGCAGAGTGTTGAGTGGGAAGGGTAGAGTATAAACAGTGGAGTGTTAAGTGGGGAATGTACTGTGTAGAGTGCGAAGTGGCGATTGTGGAGTGCGAGGTGTGGAGTGTAAAGTGTAGAGTGTGGAGTGTAGAGTGTGGAATGTAAAATGTGGAGTGTGACATGTAGAGTGTGGAGAGCCCAGTGTGAAGTACGAAGTGTGGAATGTAAAGTGTAAAGAATAGAGTGCGGACTGTGGAGTTTGTAGTGTAGAGCGTGGAGTCTAAAGAGTAGTGTAGAGTGTGGTGTGTCAAGAGTAAAGTGTGGAGCGTAAAGTGTAGAGTGCGGAGCGTTAAGTGTAAAGTGTGAAGTGTAGAGTGTGGAGATTAAAGTGCAAGGTGCAGAGTGTGGAGTGTAAAGTGTAGAGTGCGGAGTGTAAAGTGTAAAGTGTGAAGTGCGGAGTGTAAAGTGTCAAGAGCACACTGAGGGGTGTAAAGAGTAGACTGTGGAGCGTAAAGTGTAAAGTGCGGAATGTAAAATGTAAAGCGTGAAGTGTGGAGTGCAAAGTGTAGAGTGTAAAGTGTAGAGTGGAGAGTGCGGAGTGTAAAGTGTAGAGCGTGGAGTGTAAGTGAGAAGTGTGACGTGCGGAGTGCAAAGTGTAAAGTGTAAAGTGTGGACTGTACAGTGTAAAGAGTCAAGTGTAAAGTGTAAAGTGTAGAGTGCAAAGTGTAGAGCGCGGAGTGTCAAGTGCAAAGTGCAGAGTTTAAAGTGTAAAGTGTAAAGTGCGGGGCGTACAGTGTAAAGTGTAGAGTGTGGAGTCTAAAGAGTCAAGTGCAGAGTGTGGAGTGTAAAGTGTAAAATGTGGAGTGTAAAGTGCGGAGTGTGGAGTGTGAAGTGTAGTGTGTGGTTCGTCAAGTGTAGAGTTTGGTGTGTCAAGTGTAAAGTTTTAAAGTGTGGCGCGTAGAGTGTAAAGTGTGGAGCGTTCAGTTTGAAGTGTGAAGTGTAGTGTGTGGAGTGTAAAGTGCGAGGTGCAGAGTGTGGAGAGTAGAGTGTGGAGCTTAAAGCGTAGAGTGCGGGATGTAAAGTGTAAAGTGTGGAGTGTAAAGTGTTGTGTGTGGATTGTAGAGTGTAGTGTATGGATTAAGTGTAAAGTGCGGAGTGTAGAGTGTAAAGTGTAAAGTGTGACATGTGCAATGTAATAGTGGAGGGTCGAGTCTAGAGTGTCAAGTTGTAACATCACCAAGTACTGCCCCTGCTACTCAAAATGGCACGAAAGACGAAGGCAAGATCGCACCTCGCGCAGCCGTGGCGTTGCGGAAAGCGGCAATTGCAATCACAAAAGTGTTCCAAATACCGCCCCTGCCACTCAAAATGACATTCCACACACGACGGATCTTCACCAAACGACACTTTCACGATGTGCCCCGCCCCACGGAATTTCCGCGTGGTCACCACTTGACGCAGCCCTGACAATGCGATCCGCAAAAAGCACGCAACACGATACGTCCAAAGTGCTGGACATCTCCAAAGTGCTGCGCCTGCCACAAATCGTGAAAACATTGCAAAAGTATTGCGGCTGACACAGAAAACGAACTTTGACGGTTTTTAAGACACTTGCGAATGTCATCAAGCACCGCGCCCGCCACGCAAAACGACATTACAACCTCTTTTGAAACCTTCAAAAGCGGAAGGTTTTGCAGTTTTCCACATAGGCGCGGCGATGCCACAACAAAACCAGAGAATCGCGAGGGGACATGTCGGAAGTTCTAAAACGAGCATTTCGTACCAGACTGCCTCAAATTTTGATACTTTGTAGCTACAAAACCGACGTTTTCCTGCGAGTTTTCCTGATGAACCCCAAAATCTGCTACCTCCAAATTGACGTTTCATGCGAGGCATCCATCAATTTTCATTATATACATGTCGCAAAATGCCACGCATGCCACGGAATTTCCACGTCGTCACCACTTGACGCAGCCCTGACAATGTGATTCGCAAAAACACGCAACACGACACGTCCAAGTGCTGCACCTTTCAAGCAAACTGCACATGGACAACTCCAAAGTGGTGCGCCTGCCGCAAAAAATGGAAGTCATCTTCTGAAAACGACGCAAAAGTATTGCGCCTGTCAAACAGAACGACTTTTGACACGTTATTAACCATTTTGCAATGTCATAAAGTGCCACGCCTGCCAAACGAAACCAAGTCGTTTCAAACGTCCAACAGTGACCACTTTTGCAAGCATTCTCCATAGGCACAGCCGTAACACAATCATCGCGAACGGTTGCGGACGGTTGCGAGCGTAAAAGCAGCGTCGAGCGAACACGTCCCAACCCTGAGACCCCGAAAGTAAAACAAGAACCCTTCGCTACGCATTTGGGAAAAACTGGAAGGAATGGAAGGTGCTTGCATCGTTTTCAATTCACCACCTCTGGCTCGGGTCCAGCAAGCTCACGTCTTCAGCCTATTGGCAGCATCCCTTTGTTTATCTTGTTTCACGGTGTGTCAGCCAGACTCTTTGTGAAAACGCAGAATCAAAATAAAACGCAAGACATCTCAAGACAATCCGTTGCAGGTTCTTTGACCAATCGACTAAGCTAGATTGTTTGGTATTTTCATGCACACCAGCCACAGGTTGTAGAAGCTGAGGCCATAGGATCTTGTCGGCAGATGCTGTGGCCTCCAGGTTTTCCATCTCGATATTCACCGTCCGGTCAAGTAGCTGTTGCTCAAAGTCTGGGTCCAGGGGATCGGTGCTGACCAACTCACGGGCTGGGGACAATGAGCTAAAGCGACCCATAACCCAAGTCGGGATTGACATGGAAATATTTTGAAACTTGGGCATCGTCATATGAGCCTGGAAACATGATGGGATTTTGACCATGCTGAATGCAGATTGCCTAGAGGCCTGGCAGCTTTTAAGCCCGTGACCATCTGCTTCCAACACCGCTTAAAAATCCCCCGGGAGCGTAGGGGGGGAAGGGGGTTCGACTGACAAAAAACACTGTGTTGGACTCAGACCTGCCCCTCCCCTTGCTGAAGCAAGAGTAACTCCAGCTAGCTACTGCTAGCTCTCGTGATGACTGGTGTCCCGGATCTCATAGTCCTCGTGCAGCCCAAGTCACTGGCCAGCTTCTGGGGGATGACGGCGGTTAGGCAGAGAAGTGGAAGGCAGAGGAGGAATGCGATCAGAATTGGGATCCTGGATCAAACATCCAAAACGAAAATCCTGAATCAAACATCCTCACAAACAACATCCTCAGTCTCGCCAGACATGGCAAACTGGGTCTTTGGGGTATGTGTGCTGTTCATGCCTGTGATTGAAGCCGTAGGAGAATGTGAAGTTTTGTTGAAACCAGGACGCGCAGCACAAGCACCTCGAAGCAAACTGAGAGTGTCCGGAGTCACCCGAGTCACCCTCGAAAGGCCGGCTGAAGGCCTAGCCACAGACGCGCGTGCGTCTCAACATTCAAGACCGCACCCCCAAATATCTGCGGATATCGCGAGGACAGGACGGGGATACCATCATACAACCAGAAACTCACTGGCGGCTGTGACGGCAATCAGACATAGCAATGGAAAACTGTGGAAAATTGACCCTTTGTAATTGCACATGGTGTACATGCGAAAAATACAAGCAATCCCTCATTCAATTTTTGTTTTTCCATATTCTCTTCCATGCTCCATTCCTAGGGATTTTCCAGCCATATTCCAGCTAGCCAGGCTGGGGATCCCGATCTCGCCGCACCTCGAAGAGGAAACCGAAGAGAATAGGACCAATACACTCGGCAATGCTCTTGCCGGTGGTCAAAGCACCTTGCCACCGAGAAAGAATTCAACGGAAAATGTCAACGTGGTGTTAGCAAGTGGTTGAATATATGCTGATGCGAGACTTTTCCCAGTTTTTACACATACCCTGGCCAATCTTTTGAGCAGTGCCTTAGTCAAAAAAAGTTCGAAGTGAAACATCTCAACGCGGCGCCATGGATCTTAAATTTTGACCCAGAAGCATATTTTTCAACTGTTTGTGTTACGCAACTTTCTGCCATGTTTTCATGCGCTCCAAACATATCCAATATTTCGTGTGTACTGGACAAATTTAAAAAAACCCTGAAGATCAACCAGGAAGAATAAGAAGAAGCAGGTGAAGGCAGTGAAGATGTTGTGGCGCATGCCAGGGAGAGCGTTTGCAATTGAATTTCGTTGTGCAAGATTCCCAAAGCATGACAACTTTTGCGTAACGTGCCTTGAAGAAGGCCCTGCCTTGGTTTTGTCGCAACAAATGCGGTCTGTTGGGCCCTGGGAAAACTGGTGCTTTTTGACAACGGTCCATGTCAAATATATACACATTGATGGTTTGGAGAAATCTACTCCATGCCATGTTGAAACATGATAGTCGCAGCAAACCACGCAGCTGTGGTTCGAGTTTGTGACAATGGTCACTTATGATCTCAATGACGGAGGCCGTGGCACTAGAATGAAGCCCGCGCTGGATTGTGACACAAAAGGCTAGTTTCCATGTTTCCATGATGTAAACATGAAAAGGCAAAATCAACCGAGTTGCTCGTGTTCTGCGACCAGCCGACTCTTTATTGCAGAGATAGCGGGGAAAGCTAAAGCTTGTGGGCCCAAAAGGACCTCAGCCCGAATGGTTCAAACCACATTATTCCGTGGGTGTTGCTGGTCATGCGCTTTGCCTCTGTCTGACAATGACTGACTGTGTCAGGGCTGATGCTGTGTGCCGCCCTCTGATAGGAGAATAACTTGAGATCTGTTGTGTTTGGTTTCTTTGGGGTTCCTTTTCGCCCCACCAGATTTTCGAACAATTAGTTTGGGCCACTTGTGTGAACTGAATGCCGAAGCCAGGAGCAACTTCGCGCCATGTTCACAGCGTCAGCTCGGTTGCAATTGCCCAGGCACAGCGTTCAAGATGTAAACTTGCCATTGCTGCGTGACGCAAGCGAAACACAACATGTAGAGCGCTCCGGCCCACAGGGCAAGACCTGACAGGCGAAGTTGGGTCAGCGCTTTGGGGTTCTTCGTTTCATCCCGCAAACCAGACCAATGAGGAAGGATGCTAGGCGCCAAGTTAAACGACGACTACAAGGCAGTTTCCGCAAGAATGGGCACGTTCTATCTTTGTCGTGTTTGCGTGTACCAACCGCAACTCGATTCAGGAACTACAGAATCCACAAAGTCTATGTTGATTCAGTCAGTCACGGAAACGTTGCATGGTCTGTAGACCTGAGAATTCCTGAGATCTCTTCAAACATGTTTTTTATGAACTACGAAAGGACCTGTTTGAAGATGCATCTTGACACGTTATCTATTTATTGGCAAAACAGGCCGTAAGTTGTAGCTGCCAAATGCCTTTGGAATGAGCCAGGTTTGCATCACAACAGTTTGGACCCAGCCTCAACTTCTTAGTTTAAGTGGTACTTGTACCTAAATAGGTACGCACCCTGGATGTGCTAGGAGGCCCTGCCTACAACTGCGATGCTTGAACCTCACCCCATGACGATTTGACATCACCTGCACCTGAGCCGCCTTGTCCGCCTTGTGTGCTGAAACGCACATCACAGCAAGTCAACTTGCAAATCACCCTTAATCTGATGAGATTGCATACCCTGATGATCCTGATGTTGTAGTCGCATTTCTGAAACCTTTCCCAGGACCCAAGTTTGGTCTCTACAAATTCTGAAACATGCTATTTGAACAGAAAACCTTCAGACCTACAAATTCAGAACAACGTTCTTGGGTCTGCCCCTGAACTGAAAATAGAACAAACACATGCCATAGAATAATGATCCAGTGTTAACACGTACAGCCTAGAAAAACATGCACGTCGTGCCTTCAATATAAAGCTCAGTACCAATTTTGTGGAGAATTTGCAACCTGTACTTAGGGTATTTCAAACAGATCAATGGAAATGACATGGTAACATGCACCATGTTTCCACACAAAAGAAATGGACTACAGCGAAGCCACTGCTGCAATTTTTTCAGGAGTAGCCTGGAGCCATCTAAGAACCCCAGGGCACAACACCCTCAACAAGTCTAATTCGGTTCTTATCCAACGATTCCACACATATTGATTGAAATCACATGGACACCAGTATGACATGAAAACAACGGAAAGAATGTATAGCAATCAAGTAGCAAATGAAGATCCATATTCCAGACCACATTTCTTCACAAAGAATAACATGAATAAAGCACATTTCGCACATTTCTCACATTTCTGGAGAAACCTATGGTGAAATATGGTGAAATCATCTTTTTCATCTTGGAGCCGATGCCAGGCGATGCCAGGCCTAATGATCCGACATCTCCCATGGCTCGATGGGTGATGGAAAGACCACCTCCTGCCCAAATGATGGAGGAGCTGCAGCCGATGATGAAGGCCAAATTGTTGCAGCTTTTCGGCCATCGGATGTATTTCCTAAGTGTTTTTCAAAGGTTTTTCAAAGGTTTGAAAAAAAGGACACAAAAGGTGACGGATTGTGGCCTCTCCACTTTCTGAAGGATTGTGAAGTTTACTGTGACATGTTCTATTTTCCAGTGGTTCGATGTACCACTTCACAAATCTTCACACATGCAATTTCTGCTGGAAGTGGGCATCGCCACTTATCCACTTAACAGCTTAGCACTTACCGCAATGGGGGCCAGCCAAGTGTCTGCAAGAAACTTGAACTAACACGCTGGAATCCCGTGCCAATAAAGGTGCTTCCAACAACCTCAGTCATGGAAATTACCAGGGCGTTCGGATGGCTGTTCATGTGCCTGTTTGATGCCCAGGAAGCATCTAGTCACATGTTTTGGACGAGGCACCAAGGTCGAAAGTTGAACAAAGAGCTGGTTTCCTTACCGCCAAGGTAAGGAACATGCCCATTGGACCACTGGTCGCTCTGGATGGGTCGGATGTTGGTTCCCCTGAGGTGCAGACTTGCAAGGATGCCTTGGTGGAGCTAAACCATCAGCAAGGCCTCTTTTCTTAGGAACCACTAGCTGGTCAACGCTCAGGACTAGTGATCAGCTACTGTAGATTATTTAGAAGGAAGTGATACAATGTAACTAGATTTGTTGTGGGTCATTCGGCTCCTGTTTTTGTCAGTAACATCCCATATGTGTTGGAAACACCAACACAGTCGTTGGTAAATCTCCCACTGGGGAATCCTCAACATCACCTTGGTATCATGCGTTAGTTGGCTGATGTTCCAAGGGTTTTGATTAAATAATTGGTATTGGCCCACAAAATTGGTGGATTCTTATGACACAGTCATTTGGCTTTGTCCGAAAATAGGCTACGCCAAATTTTGATGGTCCATCATGTTTTTCTCCATTATTTGTTGGCTGTTTGAGGGTATCCCGTATCCCTCATTTTCAAACAAATCATTCAATGTAGCAGGGTCATCCATCTAGTGGAAATTGCCTATCCGTGTTTTTTTCTGGAGTCAATGATTTGGATCCATACTCACAGCCACCACCCCTGAGCCCTTCTTGGGGGTGCCCAGCTAGTAAGTGGCTCATAACCATGCGACCCAGTTAGACATGGAATATCTGCTATACATGGCTTATGAATTATGAGGATTGTGTTCACCACTTCCTAGCTGGAATATATTGGAAAACCACATCCATATTACAACCATACTATACCATATCAAGATGCCATATTATACCCCAGTTATATTTGGACTGACATAGGGATTATATTAAGGACATTTAAGGACCCTATAGAAACCTCATGGATCCCCGCCAAGTGGCTCAAGCCAAGGCCGGGTGCAGCAGCTCGCCACTGCATGGCTTGGCGCTTGGACTCCGGCAACGTCCTCGGAGATTGGACCGATGATCGGACGCAGATCTTAGGATCCAAAGTTGGGGATTGGTGTGGATGAGTCACTGATGAGTCTGATGAAATATCCGCCGACCCCGGCAGACGCAAGGGGGAGCGCGCCAGGGAATAAGACATTTGACCCTTGTCGGACTACTACTACTACTACTACCACTACTACTACTACTACTACTACTACTACTAGGACTACGAGTACGACTACGGCTACGACTACGAGTTTCGAAAAAGATGTCTGGCTGTTGGTTTCTCGCCTTGGAGGCTGTTGTTTCGCAACCGCTCGCTAGGAGTTTGTTGTGGAGCCGTTGCCCGCAGGCCGTCCTTCAGGGCCACTGTGTTTCCCTGTCCGGCAGCGTGCGTTTTCAGCTTCGGGAGGAAGAGCAGCAGCAGCAACAGGAGCAGCAGGAGGGTTCTATGTCTCACTATGTCTCATTGTACAAACAGCGGCACAAAAAATGGTCGAAAACTATTGTTTTTCTAGGGTTTCAGAAGGGACGTTAGGCAGTTTTTGGGCTCGATTTTGGCGCCGTTCCGTCCTTCGGGGCCACTGTGTTTCCCTGTCCGGCAGCGTGCTTTTTCAGCTTCGGGAGGAAGAGCAGCAGCAGCAACAGGAGCAGCAGGAGGGTTCTATGTCTCACTATGTCTCATTGTACAAACAGCGGTACAAAAACTGGTCGAAAACTATTGTTTTTCGGCAGCGTGCGTTTTCAGCTTCGGGAGGAAGAGCAGCAGCAGCAACAGGAGCAGCAGGAGGGTTCTATGTCTCACTATGTCTCATTGTGCAAACAGCGGTACAAAAAATTGTCGAAAACTATTGTTTTTCTAGGGTTTCAGAAGGGACGTTAGGCAGTTTTTGGGTTCGATTTTGGCGCTGTTCCGTCCTTCAGGGCCACTGTGTTTCCCTGTCCGGCAGCGTGCGTTTTCAGCTTCGGGAGGAAGAGCAGCAGCAGCAACAGGAGCAGCACGAGGGTTCTATGTCTCACTATATGTCTCATTGTACAAACAGCGGTACAAAAAATAGTCGAAAACTATTGTTTTTCTAGGGTTTCAGAAGGGACATTAGGCAGTTTTGGGGCTCGATTTTGGCGCTGTTCCGTCTTTCAGGGCCACTGTGTTTCCCTGTCCGGCAGCGTACGTTTTCAGCTTCGGGAGGAAGAGCAGCAGCAGCAACAGGAGCAGCAGGAGGGTTCTATGTCTCACTATGTCTCATTGTGCAAACAGCGGTACAAAAAATCGTCGAAAACTATTGTTTTTCTAGGGTTTCAGAAGGGACGTTAGGCAGTTTTTGGGCTCGATTTTGGCGCCGTTCCGTCCTTCAGGGCCACTGTGTTTCCCTGTCCGGCAGCGTGCGTTTTCAGCTTCGGGAGGAAGAGCAGCAGCAGCAACAGGAGCAGAAGGAGGGTTCTATGTCTCACTATATCTCATTGTACAAACAGCGGTACCAAAAATTGTCGAAAACCATTGTTTTTCTAGGGTTTCAGAAGCGACGTTAGGCAGTTTTGGGGCTCGATGTTGGCACCGTTCCGTCCTTCAGGGCCACTGTGTTTCCCTGTCCGGCAGCGTGCGTTCTCAGCTTCGGGAGGAAGAGCAGCAGCAGCAACAGGAGCAGCAGGAGGGTTCTATGTCTCACTATGTCTCATTGTACAAACAGCGGTACAAAAACTGGTCGAAAACTATTGTTTTTCTAGGGTTTCAGAAGGGACGTTAGGCAGTTTTTGGGCTCGATTTTGGCGCCGTTCCGTCCTTCAGGGCCACTGTGTTTCCCTGTCCGGCAGCGTGCGTTTTCAGCTTCGGGAGGAAGAGCAGCAGCAGCAACAGGAGCAGCAGGAAGGTTCTATGTCTCACTATGTCTCATTGTACAAACAGCGGTACAAAAACTGGTCAAAAACTATTGTTTTTC